TATTGTACGATTTCATACGTCCAGGTGCGATACATGCGGGGAAATCCTGAAAATGATCACATGTATATCACGCATGAAACAACATGTGCAAAAGTGCTCTCTGACCAGTCTGAATAATTGCAGAAATTGTCCATCTAGCTGTCACCCTTTGACCAGCTACCCGTAAAGATCCGGATTAGAATTGGTCTTCAGCAACCCATGCTTGTCGTAAGAGGCGACTAACGGGATCGGGTGGTCAGGATCGCTGGCTTGGTTGACACATGTCATCTTATCCCAGTTGCCTAATCCATGCTCATGATTCTATCGCTATGTTTAGGCATCATCTTAGCGGAAAGACCGCTTTTGGATATGGACCCAGTGCCAAGATAGCTTATATTCGTTTAAAAGGAACATTCTGTATGTCCAAAAGAGAACGGTCATACGGGTCAACGTAGTACGGTTGTTAACCATTGTTAATCAAAAGCATCCACTAGCCTTGTCTTCAACCCTAACCTTACAGTTCCACGTTAAATTATGAGCGGGCGCGCACATGTCGATTGTCCTTTGAGAGAACGGTATACAAAGTCAACAACTTGGTTCGGACAACGTGGTTGCTATAATGTCCACAGCCATTGCCTGTCGAAATCGCGCTAAAAGTATTCAAAAAAATAACCCAAGTCTCCTAGTTCCGAAATCATTCAAAGCTTTAAAGTAACTCGCACAAGTACTAAGACAGTTCATTGTTACGCAAACAATCAAATACAGTGACACTTTAGACGACCCATGCTCAACTTTTCACGTGACCGCTATGCACAGTGCTATATGACGCTGTGTGGTTTGAATGGCTCCTATTATAAGAACTAAATCTAAGTATATCTATTCTCGTTATCTGTCAGAGATGAAATCTAAATATTATCGTTATTTGATTGATCAAATCCTCTATTAGGATTAAAAATACTATTCCAACCAAGAACGTCGGTCTGATTTGATATCACGTTTTCACCCCAAGGGAGACAACCCTTGCTCTTCAAGGGATGGCGCCACGAAAAGTAAAACTGAAACAGCAAGTGTGAAGACATGCTTTTATATAGGCTAATGGACACCTCGGGACGATGTTGTAAAACGAGTTGACCAATGATCTTCCCGGGTCCGAATCAATCCAAACCTGAATTTTCGCATTATATAGTATATTCTTCTACTAGAGTTATCTTTCCTTTACTATTTGACCGCCATATTGTATTCACCCCTCTTGACAACACAAGGACAACGTAGCTATATTAATGTACTTCCTTTAATCAAACGAATTACTCATCTCCGGGTTTCTCTTTTCTCGCTCTTTAAAACAAGACCAAATATGGTCAAAAGGAAAATGCTTGCAGGGTGCCGTTGTACAAAGCGATCTTAGCGCTAAGATGACTGTAACTCCTACACCTTAACATAGTCGTAGCGCTAAGATGACTGTAACTCCTACACCTTAACATAGTCGTAGCGCTAAGATGTCTGTAACTCCTACACCTTAACATAGTCGTAGCGCTAAGATGACTGTAACTCCTACACCTTAACATAGTCGTAGCGCTAAGGTTGTTTTGTACAACAGCCTGGTCACCTAAAATCTTTTTTTTTTAAATGGTGGCCTTATATAAACATTCAATCCCTTGTAACGTCTGCAAATATTTTTCAAAGATCGCATATTTCAGTGGGAATATAATTGTCGTCTATCCCAGCTCGCTCAAGATCCATTCAGAACTAACGATATTCAGAAAGACATACAGTAACATTATTGGACAGCAGCACAAAGCCTAACGGGTCATGTCGGATCAGTTATATAACAACTTTCTTAAGGCATGCTATAACAAAGTGCTAAAATATATTTCTACTATATCAAAATCTTAATAATTGGATGGATTATAGCGATATGTTCACGAGTTATATATTCTTTGCAAGTTAAAATACACTACTCAAAGGAGTGAGCGAGTTTGATTTTACGCCGCTTTTAGCAATATTCCAGCAATATCACGGCGGGGGACACCAGAAACGGGCTTCACACATTGTACCCATGTGGGGAGTCGAACCCGGGTCTTTGGCGTGACAAGCCAACGTTTTAACCACTAGGCTACCTCAACGCCCCTACTACTCAAGGAAGTAGAAGAACACCCGGCATGTCTTCTTAACGTTAGGGGAAAGCCCGAAATAATGTCTTTACGGCAATGAAACTCACATGCATTATTATGGTACCAACAACCCTAGCAACAAAATCGAATTTAAACCCACATGCATTATTATGATGCCGACAATAAATCGACAATAAATCGAATTTAAACCGACATGCATTATTATGATGCCGACAACCCCAGCGACTAAATCGAATTTAAACCCACTTGCCTTATTATGGTGCCAACAACCCTAGCGACTCAATCAAATTTAAAACCCACATGCATTATTATGGTGCCTACAACCCTAGCGACAAAACCGAATTTAAACCCATATGCATTATTATGGTGCCAACAATCCTAGCGACTCAATCCAAATTAAACCCACATGCATATTATTATGATGCCGACAACCCTAGCGACACAATCCAAATTATACCCACATGCATTATTATGGTGCCTACAACCCTAGCGACACAACCGAATTTAAACCTATATGCATTATTATGGTGCCGACAACCCTAGCGACTTAATCAAAATTATACCCACATGCGTATTATTAGGTGTCCTCCCATTTGCGAGAACTCCCAGTTGCGAGACACATTAATTAATGGTTCAGTGCACACAAGTGGTGCTTCCCAATCCCTACGATGAAAGTGGGAACAGCCCTGTTGCTGAAGAGTACCCGCAGGAGGCATAGTTCATTAATGAGACACAGAAGACATTGTTCATTGAAGAGCATTTATTGATTTCAATAAAGGACAAGTTAAATACTGAAATACTGAAAAAGATTATCATTATATTTACACAGAAGAAATAGTTCATTAAATACTTCATTATCATTTTTTATTCACACATTTTGATGATTTGCGTTATTATGATGTTTGTGTGTCATTATAAATAACTTTTTTACATGGGTCCATATTCGGAAATTTTGACACTTTTCATATTTTCAGCAGTTTGCCGACTGCATCAAGATACTGCATGTGATTTTTCGTTCCATCTGCAAGTTGATCTTTGAGTCTATGTAGTCGATTGTCTATTTCCCTGTACACGCGTTTCCTCGATCGAGGGGCGCCTCCCAGGTCGAGTTGGCACAGCTTGGCCTTCTCTGCCTTCTCTATTTTCCTGATGATTTCCATAAACCTGAAGATGTTTGGATGGCGATGACTGAGTGTAGCATTCAATCTACTGTGAAACCCCTCAATGTTGTTGTTAGTCCTGGGGCCGAATGTGTCATGATGGTTCCATATGGGCAAGGGAAAGCGAGCGTCGTCGTCCACCCAGGTTGTAGTGATGTAGTCGATTTTTGAAGCACGTAAATCTGAGTAGGTCAATTAATTTCTCTTTCAAATGATCACGAAGATACCTACACAAAGTGTTTATTTTTTAAAGCCATTTACCTGAGTAGGTTAATTACTTTTTCTTTTAAGCTACCTCCACAAGATTCAGTTAAATAGCTAATCCCTAATTAGCTGGGGTTAATCCATTCTATCAGATAGGGGAGTAAGGTGTGTTTTCTTTGCTCCTTACCTTCTCCACTGTCTCACAACTGGGAGTCTCGCAACTGGGAGTTCTCGCAAATGGGAGTAGACCTATTATTATGATGCCGACAACCCTAGCGACTCAATCCAAATTAAACCCACATGCATTATTATGGTGCCTACAACCCTAGCGACACAATCCAAATTAAACCCACATGCATTATTATGGTGCCTACAACCCCAGCGACAAAACCGAATTTAAACCCATATGCATTATTATGGTGCCAACAATCCTAGCGACACAATCCAAATTAAACCCACATGCGTATTATTATGATGCCGACAACCCTAGCGACTCAATCAAAATTATACCCTCATGCATAGGTATGGTGCTGGCAAACCCAGCAACACAATCGAAATAAAATCCGCATGTATTTTTACGGTGCCGACAATCCTAGCAATACAGTCGACATTAAACCCTCATGCATTCGTATGGTGCCGACAACCTCAGCAACACAATGTTCTTCAACTTCTTTTGAATAGTACATAATGCGTTGTTATGAATCACACGTGCCTGAAAGAAACTTGAATTTCGGACAGTGTTCGGAAATACTGACATCGATTATTTAAGATTTAAAATGTACTTCAATTCACCCTCTTAAATGGTACTAATTGTACTGCAATAATCGCAACTGCATTAAACCGAATGGATGTACTATTGGTTTCAAAGTTTCTCATATTTACACTTTTTAGATGGTATGATAGACAAAGTATATTATTCAAGTCCCAGCTAAATGATTATCCTTCTCCATTACCATGAGACTTCCACGTCTTGAATCACCTTTTGAAACGTTACGTTCAGAGCCATATGGCAGTGTAAAGTGTTGGCACAACATTACAGTATCCATCTCGTTCAAACACGATGTCCATACGGCCAAAGTGGGTTTGGGACTTGGATGCAGTGCAAATTTTAACATATGTTTCAGTTCAAATTTCACCGTTGAAATCCAAGGAGTTGAATCGTCGACAAAGGGCTTTTGCCAACAAGCCAAATCATACAGGAGTTGAATCTAGGATTCGAACCATTGGGACGCGGTCACATTTCGATTCCACGCACCTGTGTAAGATATATACACCTTGACAAAAGTTGAGCTCCCCTTCTATTAAAGGCATTCAGAAGTTGGGAGAACTCCTTTACTTTCGTATATTACTCAAAGAAACTTACGAACAGTAAATCTGTCACGTACGAAGTCGTGATATGACACAAGGCAAAAAAGGCTAGTCAAATACATATTGTATCGGTATGTCACAAAATATGTCATTAGGAAAACGGGTTCTGTTTCTGAAGTTCAATACTTTGTAAACATAAACAAATACATAGCAGCAGAAAACCATACAATGTGATTTTTATATATAGAAATATCTAGGAACACTAACCGGTGCTCATTTTTGTCCAAGTGTGTACTTGTATCAATATATATATCGTTCTGTTATTTCGGTTTGAAACCGTCATTCATCCAGTAAAAGAACTGGAATTCTGTCTACAGCTCCGATACGAAACCGCTTTCTTTATCACAGCTCTTTAAACTTGACACATTTTGTACAGAGCTTTTAAGTGCTTCACTCTCATTGCTGCCTAAGACTTTATCAGTCGAACTAAACAATAACTGCGCTGTTTCCTCTTCTTCAGCCGCGTCATCCGCCGTCTGGCGGCGCTTCACCAAACCGGAATCGTACTTCCGGGACTTCCGGTCAAAAAAGTTACCGTCTGCATAATATTCGTCGTCGTCGTCCACGAATGCCGAGTCTCTGTTAGTGTTATTAAGCAGCATGTATCCCTCCTGCCCCGGGGTCAGGCTTAGTCTCTTACAGGGGGGTCGGTACAGGTCGGTGAGTTGTGGCTGTGTCAGCTCAACAAGACTGTTGGACCGCCCCACCGATGACTGAATAAAATCGTGTTCTGCAAGAGACTGTGTGAAAAACCTAAGATGCACATTTTTGTCTATCTTTTCTTTTTTACGTTTTCTAACACACAAAGTATCACCAGTTTGTTCTTGTTGTTCCATTACGGGACAAGACGGTTTGGCTTTGAGTTCAACAAAACTAGATTCGGCGGCTTCGCCGTGTTTTTCCTCTTCCGATTTCCGTCTCTTTTTAGACGAACTGCGCATGTGCGACCCGTCCTCTATCACCAGCTGGATGTCAAACTGTGACTGGGTTAGCTTTTCCACACAGACTCCCGCGGATTTGGATCGGGAATTAGTGGACACTCCGCTACAGCACTGCATACACCTGTCTGATGACCCATTGGAGTTTTCTGGCATGAGAACCGCATCATAGTCACAATGCTTGTCTGTATCTATAGGACTCGACTCGGTACTACAACAAGGGATGTTTTGCGTCCAGAGTGTCTTTTTCTGACTTTTGGATCGGTGAGAATGAAAACTGACTTTTTCTTGATGACCTTGAAAAGCGACAACTGGAAGAGTTATCTGCCCTTTGAGCGGAGGAACGGTCTTTTGAGCGTAACATGAACACGAAGCATCAACACACACAGTCCCTGACTGCTTGATCCAAACTGCCCGGTGGTGATTGTCCTCTTCATCGTACGTCAAGTATGACTCTGTGGTGCAGTTCAGATCATCCATCTTGTCCTTGGAACAAAACTCTTGGTGCAGGATGATGTGAGAGTCGGCATCAGTTCTGCCAGAACCATGCTTCCTGTGTTCAACATTTTTCTTATTGTTTCTCTTGGTCTTATGGCCCTTAACGCTTCGGCATTTGCAGTAGGGGCAATCCTTGGCTGAAAATGGCTTAGTGTTCTGTTTGTTATCACATTCACTCCTCTCCGAGTCGCTCTTGACATTGTTGGACTCGGAGTGGTAGTTGATTAAGCCACCATACTGGCTCCCGATGCTCATTGAGTTGCTGTTACTGCCCCGCTTCTCCCCTGGAACTAGACTGTTCAGCCCTGAAGGACGTCTCGAGGGCACCCAGGAGCTTCCATGTCTGTTGCTCACTCTGGAGAAGTGGCGAGCTATGGATGAATCCTCCAGACGTCGACACAAAAGAACACAGTCCTTCTTGAACTGTTTCGTAAAGATGGCGTACAGGAAGGGGTTTGCACAGCTGTTGAGAGGAAGGATAAAGATGGTGAGGACCTTTGCCTCGTTTAAATGGATGAGGTTTTTCCCGAAGGCCGCTGCTAAGGAGAGGAAGGCGATCGGTGCCCAGCAGACGAAGTCGGTGAAGACGAGAAGAGCCATCCTCTTTGCCACTCGCATGTCGTTGGAGTTCCAAGCCTGGGAGTCGCGGATGGAGAGATACATGATGAAGTAGCAGCTCAGGATGATGAAGAAGGAGATGCCGTTGAATATCATGATGAAGCAGACATATCCTGAACAGAAAAAGACAACAGAACGTTAGCCTTGACCTTCGTGGGTTGATCAACGCTACGTTTAGCAATGTTCAGTGAATAACCCAGTCTGAGACACATATAACACAAGTGATCAATGTTGTGTGTGGAAAGGGAAATTAATTTCACAATAAAAATAAAAATGAAATGGCTGTTACAAATGTGAGTTTCACATAATTCAAAAGTTCAGTCATAATTGTTCAGTGATCTAATCAGAGTGAGTGAGTGAGTGAGACTATGGTTTCACGTCGCTTTTAGCAATATTCCAACAATATTACGGCGGGGGACTTCACACATTCTATTGTACATTCACACCCATGCGGGGAATTGAACCCGGGTCTTCAGCGGACGCTTTAACCACTAGGCTACCCCACCGCCCTCGGGTAGCAAAACAGCACAAGTAGGAAGCTGACTAGCCTAGAAGCATGATCGGAGGGACCGGAAATACTGACGAGATTACCAAAAGGACATCACACTTCAAACACGTGCTGCATTATAACCAAGAAAGCATTCTTAAATCTGATTGGCTGATCTGGGGGCGGTGGGGTAGCCTTGTGGTTAAAGCGTCGCTCGTCACGCCGAAGAACTGGGTTCGATTCCCCACAGGGGTATACGTAGAATGTTTGGAACCCATTTCTGGTGTCCCCCGCCGTGATATTGCTGGAATATTGCTAACAGCGGCGTAAAACTAAACTCACTCACTTATTAATGACGACTGCAGATCAGAAAATCAAATTATTTGAATTTGGACCTTTAATAGAAACCTGACAACTAATACAAAAACAGAACTGAAAATAATAAGAAAAAGAAAATGATGCACAAGGACAAATGGAGGATTTCAAAAAGGAAACCCGTGAAGAACTGAACCCAGAGGATATTGGAAATATTTATCAACAATAAATATTTATTAACAATAAAGAAGATGCATCTCCATAGAACTCTCCCCGTTGCTCATACTCTCACTTCGTGAGTTTCCTAGAGAATGGACTGAAGGGATGAATGTTCCAATACAGATGAAAATCTAAAAGGCGTATACTACAGAGAAACAACTTTAAACAGTCGCTTTTCAATGTTTCTCCATTCCATGGGCCGAAATACAATACCATATTTGGTGCCTAGATTGGCTCCAAACACAGTTACGTAAACACCGATGACCATTTTTTTGCCATAAATAGTCTTGTGAAACATATGAAAACTCTCGCCTTAATAATAGGCAGTATTGAAAGTGAACAGTAATAATTATGTAAAGTCATGCACTACTACAGTTTATGGTAATTGTGTGGATATTCGGTGTTTTTCCCCATATGTATATAAGGATAATACGTTACAAATTCAAACATGTTTACTGAAGTTTTCATGTGATACTTCCAAACATTATTGCGGTAAAGGTTGAACTGGGTTTGTTATGACCGCATTATTCCGTGAGTGCAACCCTAGGACATTTTGCAATGTCTTCAAGAAACATTAAAAGGATATATTTGTTCAAAACGGGCAAAACATTGTATCATCCTTGAGTAAATTACGTCTGTCTAAAAACAATCAAGCCTAGTTTATGCATGAATCTTATCTGGAACTGTTGCAGAGAGGAAGTATAACGCCCTGATCGGTTACCGAAGAGTGATGAGTTAGTGAGTGAGTGAGTGGGTGTTTGGGTGAGTGAGTGGGTGGGTAGGTGAATGTGTGAGTGTGTGGGTTGGGTGGGTGGGTTGGTGAGTGAGTGAGTGAGTGAGCGAGTGAGGGCTTCACACATTGTACCCATGTGGGCAATCGGGATTGTAGCAGTTACAGTATGACGTCATTACATATATATTGTGTCGTCACAATACCGACAACAATCTAGAGCGACAAGGTCACAGCTTGCAATGGTTTAGCATTGGTTTTAACTTGTCTATGAAGTAGTGTTCTTTTAAAATTCGTATTACTTTGTCCGAATTTTGAACTTGATAAAAAGGAAATACAGTATATATATATATATATATGTGTGTGTGTGTGTGTGTGTGTAGTAAATTTAAGTATCAAATTGTATTCAGTCTAGGGTCCAATCTGTCTTTCTGATGGAGTTTACACAAGAATTTGACAAAGTGGTCCTATGTAGTCGCCTCTAAATGGACCAGTAGTGAGTGTAACCTGTTCCTACCTGGGTCGCTTAGGGGATGTTTTAAAGTAGGTATACAAGTATATACAAACCCTTAGACACGACTCCGCTGATCTCAAACGGCAGACACACTGCAAACTTCCTGAAGTCACTGATGCCGAAGATGGGCAAGCTGGCGATCAGGATGGAGAAACACCATCCAACAAGCATGATGTAACCTAGAAAGAAGATGGAGTGATCACCATAGTAACCAACATCACTGCTACATCGAGGCGACCTGTACATAGTCGAGCATCAACACACCCATAAACCGGCGGTAGGTCTATTGTATCTACCAACCATAGTGATCACCATAGTAACCAACATCACTGCTACATCGAGGCGACCTGTACATAGTCGAGCATCAACACACCCATAAACCGGCAGTAGGTCTATTGTATCTACCAACCATAGTGATCACCATAGTAACCGACATCACTGCTACATCGAGGCGACCTGTACATAGTCGAGCATCAACACACCCATAAACCGGCAGTAGGTCTATTGTTTCTACCAACCATAGTGATCACCATAGTAACCAACATCACTGCTACATCGAGGCGACTGTACATAGTCGAGCATCAAAACACCCATAAACCGGCAGTAGGTCTATTGTATCTACCAACCATAGTGATCACCATAGTAACCAACATCAATGCTGCATCAAGGCGACCTGTACATAGTCGAGCATCAACACACCCATAAACCGGCAGTAGGTCTATTGTATCTACCAACCATAGTGATCACCATAGTAACCAACATCAATGCTGCATCAAGGCGACCTGTACATAGTCGAGCATCAACACACCCATAAACCGGCGGCAGGTCTACTGTATCTACCAACCATAGTGATCACCATAGTAACCAACATCACTGCTACATCGAGGCGACCTGTACATAGTCGAGCATCAACACACCCATTAACCGGCGGCAGGTCTACTGTATCTACCAACCATAGTGATCACCATAGTAACCGACATCACTGATACATCGAGGCGACCTGTACATAGTCGAGCATCAACACACCCATAAACCGGCGGTAGGTCTGTATCTACCAACCATAGTGATCACCATAGTAACCAACATCAATGCTGCATCAAGGCGACCTGTACATAGTCGAGCATCAACACACCCATAAACCGGCAGTAGGTCTACTGTATCTACCAACCATAGTGATCACCATAGTAACCGACATCACTGCTACATCGAGGCGACTGTACATAGTCGAGCATCAACACACCCATAAACCGGCAGTAGGTCTACTGTATCTACCAACCATAGTGATCACCATAGTAACCAACATCAATGCTGCATCAAGGCGACCTGTACATAGTCGAGCATCAACACACCCATAAACCGGCTAGTCGAGCATCAACACACCCATAAACCGGCAGTAGGTCTACTGTATCTACCAACCATAGTGATCACCATAGTAACCAACATCAATGCTGCATCAAGGCGACCTGTACATAGTCGAGCATCAACACACCCATAAACCGGCAGTAGGTCTACTGTATCTACCAACCATAGTAATCACCATAGTAACCAACATCACTGCTGCATCAAGACGAACTGTACATAGACGAGCATCAACACACCCATAAACCGGCGGCAGGTCTACTGTATCTACCAACCATAGTGATCACCATAGTAACCAACATCAATGCTGCATCAAGGCAACCTGTACATAGTCGAGCATCAACACACCCATAAACCGGCAGTAGGTCTACTGTATCTACCAACCATAGTGATCACCATAGTAACCAACATCAATGCTGCATCAAGGAGACCTGTACATAGACAAGCATCAACACACCCATAAACCGGCGGCAGGTCTATATCTACCAACCATAATGATCACCATAGCAACCAACATCACTGCTGCATCAAGGCGACCTGTACATAGACAAGGATCAACACACCCATAAACCGGCGGCAGGTCTGTATCTACCAACCATAGTGACCATCCAATCCTCTGTTTTGCCGAATGTTACAAACAGGTCACTGTTCTTCCCTGTCTTCGCTGTGGAATATTAGCAGTCATCATCCTGTAAGTTTTGTATAATTACCCAGCTATAGACAATTGACACTTTTGTTCCAGTTATGACTTTGTCTAAAAACGATAAGAAATTTTGAAAACGTTTAAGGACATCCAGCATGATGTTTTGAACCAAAATAACTAAAAATCTTATCTTCAACCCAGCGGCTTTGATACCACTAGTCCTATATCTGTGATTTGGTTTGGGCTGTTGTTTAACGCCGCACTCAGCAATATTCCAGCTATATAGCGGCGTTCTGTAAATAATCGAGTCTGGACCACACAATCCAGTGATCAACAGCATGAACATCAATCTACGCAACTGGAATACGATGACATGTGTCAACCAAGTCAGCGAGCCCGACCACCTGATCCCGTTAGTCGCCTCTTAGGACAAGCATGGGTTTCTAACCCGGATCTTCACGTATGCAATACATGTGGAGATGTATGGCAAATCCATGCTTGTAAAAGGCGACTCACAGGATCGGTTGGTCAGGCTTGCTGACTTTGCTGACACATCATCTTATCCCAGTTGCCTAATCGATGCTCGTGATTCGTAAAGGATATTTGGAGGTTTCTTTCAACAAATACACAATATATGTGACTTGTGAGTAACAATCAAGATGTATGTTATTATAAATAAATATTAAAGGTGCTTTTCATTTTAAAAAAATAATCCCACGGGTGCACTTTCTTTTGTGCGTGGTATCCGGTATCCTCGTTATATGATAATGTATGGTGACTTGTCCAGTACTCACTGGCATGTCGCAGAGAGAGTCGCTTGTTGAGCTGCATAGCGTGTGTGATGGCGTAGAACCTCTCCATGGTGATTACCGTCAAGGTGAAGACGCTCAGTTCGCTCGACAGAACCCCCAGGAACCCCGCTATAACGCAGCCAGGACTCAACTGCCACCAGATAGCGTGCTTCTTAAATTCACCTGCAGATTGACAAATAATAATATGTTGAAGTACAGACCCTGCTAATGTAACGGTTGTGTTTTCCTTGATCAAAGGACATTAAAGAAACATTACGTCTAATTAAAACGGATTTCTTTGTTTGAAGAAAATGAGGATGCCGAGAAGTGGGGGTTTTCAATAGTGATCGATGGCTTCATTGATTGTGTTTACCGCCCTATCCAACTTTATTCCGGCTATAACCGGTCTGCCAATAACGGGTTCTGGAAAGTCAAACCAGTGGTTGATATTATTATCAACTGACATGTTGAAACTAGCTGAGTCATATTTTTCAAATCATTAAAATATATATTCAACATGGAGCGGCTCACAGCTTTGACACTGAAGGAACGCTCAAACCTTTCATGAATTAAACATTGTTAATGAATCAAACATGAGAATTATTCCCCCTGTTGCGCCAAGAGTCAGTCTGTAATCTTGAGCATGCATGTATATATTGAATAAATATAAACAATAGTCAATCTGCCACTCCTTAGAAATAAGGGTGTTGAATTCATACAGAGAAATCATAAGATATGTTACAATTCCACGTAATGGTGGGTGGGTTGTTATACTTTTACGCTGCTTTTAGCAATATTCCAGCAATATCACGGCGGGGGACACCTGAAATGGGCTTCATACATTGTACCCATGAGGTGGAATCAAACCTGGGTCTTCGGCGTGACGAGCGAACTCTTTAACCACTGGGCTACCCCACCACCCCTTCCACGTTATGTCTTTCCCAGTGTGTCTATGACACAATATATGATTTACGTTGCGTTAAGCAGTGCAATAAAATGTCTTCAGTGACTATATTGTATTCTCAGCTAAAGTCATTGGCAACTACTAACGTTTTGATGACATATGACTTGCTGTGAAATAACCATGGTAACAGATGTTTGCGAAAACAAGACCAAAGTCTGCCCCACCACAGGTATCTGCGACGAACTAGTGAAAGGAGAAAGGAAATCGACAACATATAGTTCACGCAAAAATATATAGGGAACACACGGTACAAGTACAAATTTATACTGCTTAAATATCTACTAAAAAACCCACAAATGCTGCAAGTCTACCATAAATCTAAAAATACTGACAGGGCGATAACCAAATAACAAACACGGCCACAAAAATTTTACAAATATACACTGCACACACTACCAACAACACAGAAGAGTGCTCCAGAGTTCACCGGACAGTGACACCACCTAACACTACCAACAACACAGAAGAGTGCTCCAGAGTTCACCGGACAGTGACACACACCTAACACTACCAACAACACAGAAGAGTGCTCCAGAGTTCACCGGACAGTGACACACACCTAACACTACCAACAACACAGAAGAGTGCTCCAGAGTTCTCCAGAGTGACACCTAACACTACCAACAACACAGAAGACAGAGTTCACGGACCTAACACTAACACTACCAACAACACAGAAGAGTGCTCCAGAGTTCACCGGACAGTGACACACACCTAACACTACCAACAACACAGAAGAGTGCTCCAGAGTTCACCGGACAGTGACACACACCTAACACTACCAACAATACAGAAGAGTGCTCCAGAGTTCACCGGACAGTGACACACACCTAACACTACCAACAACACAGAAGAGTGCTCCAGAGTTCACCGGACAGTGACACACACCTAACACTACCAACAACACAGAAGAGTGCTCCAGAGTTCACCGGACAGTGACACACACCTAACACTACCAACAACACAGAAGAGTGCTCCAGAGTTCACCGGACAGTGACACACAACCTAACACTACCAACAACAACAGAAGAGTGCTCCAGAGTTCACCGGACAGTGACACACACCTAACACTACCAACAACACAGAAGAGTGCTCCAGAGTTCACCGGACAGTGACACACACCTAACACTACCAACAATACAGAAGAGTGCTCCAGAGTTCACCGGACAGTGACACACACCTAACACTACCAACAACACAGAAGAGTGCTCCAGAGTTCACCGGACAGTGACACACACCTAACACTACCAACAACACAGAAGAGTGCTCCAGAGTTCACCGGACAGTGACACACACCTAACACTACCAACAATACAGAAGAGTGCTCCAGAGTTCACCGGACAGTGACACACACCTAACACTACCAACAACACAGAAGAGTGCTCCAGAGTTCACCGGACAGTGACACACACCTAACACTACCAACAACACAGAAGAGTGCTCCAGAGTTCACCGGACAGTGACACACACCTAACACTACAAGCACTCCTAAGCCCACTAAATAACACCCAGGCCTTATATTTCTATAACTTGCCTTATAGGTCGCATATAATCCTACATAACCCACCAGTACCAATATAAATAAATTCCAAACCACATAACCTGAAAATACACACCATGATACCAATTAAAACCACCCTGCTGTTTCAGCTTCCCCTACCACTTCATCAAATTTCCAAATCTTCCAAATCAATGGAAGTTGTTATTTAACATTTTAAAACATACGCCTTGCGTTATGTATATACGTGAGTTACAAAACGCACATAAACAGAGAATAATATACGATCTGGTATTGGATGTTGAGCAGTTATTTAGCACTTTAACATTTAAAACATACGCCTTGCGTGATGTATATACGTGAGTTACAAAACGCACATAAATAGAGAATAATATACGATCTGGTATTGGATGTTGAGCAGTTATTTAGCCCTTTAACATTTAAAACATACGCCTTGCGTTATGTATATACGTGAGTTACTAAACGCACATAAATAGAGAATAATATACGATCTGGTATTGGATGTTGAGCAGTTATTTAGCCCTTTAACATTTAAAACATACGCCTTGCGTGATGTATATACGTGAGTTACAAAACGCACATAAATAGAGAATAATATACGATCTGGTATTGGATGTTGAGCAGTTATTTAGCCCTTTAACATTTAAAACATACGCCTTGCGTGATGTATATACGTGAGTTACAAAACGCACATAAATAGAGAATAATATACGATCTGGTATTGGATGTTGAGCAGTTATTTAACCCTTTAACATTTAAAACATACGCCTTGCGTGATGTATATACGTGAGTTACAAAACGCACATAAATAGAGAATAATATACGATCTGGTATTGGATGTTGAGCAGTTATTTAGCCCTTTAACATTTAAAACATACGCCTTGCGTGATGTATCTACGTGAGCTACAAAACGCACATAAACAGAGAATAATAAACGATCTGGTATTGGATGCCTAGCAGTTATTTAGCCCTTACTTTCCATTGAGTGTTATATATATCAATTTATCCTTTCAGACAGCAAGTTTTAGCAAGTTTTATCAAGGGTAATGTAAAGAAATACTTGGGTATCGACCGTACCGACAGCGTGTAGAAGATTTAATCTGACGCGGCAGAACTCGCACGGACGTTAAAGTTATTAATTATTCATGGTAAAATGATGGAAAGAGAAAAGGGCTTCACTTTAACGGACCAGTTATCTATACAAGTGGTGTATTATGACGTTACATGTAATACTAGTCAATGGCTCTAAATACAATTCAGGATAGAAATACAACTGAGTTACAAAATACACATAAACAGACCTTGGTTTTACATCGCTTTTAGCAATATTGTAGTATTTTAACTACGGGATACGTCAGAAATGGGCTACATACATTGTACATATGTGGAGACACCTTAACCATTAGGTTACCCCACAGCCCCACAATATGAAACTTACCCAGGGTTGAAGCGTCCACTATAGCCAGGAAGCCCAGGTAGATCCCCATGAAGAAATCAGCGCAAGCCAAATTACAGATGAGGAAACGCGGGACGTCCATCTTGGATCTGCTGGTTACAGACACAAAAAGGACCACGCCGTTGCCCAGCACGGCCAACATGAACACAAACCACACACCGCATCTCAGTGACCACCACCCAAACAGGTCATCACAGGGCATGAACGGACCTGAAACACAGAAAGAGCCCATAAGAGAGTTGTGTTCTTGCCGTTGAGATTTGGTTTTTGTTTGGCGCCGCACTCAGCAATATCCCAGCTATATGGCGGCGGTCTGTAAATAATCGAGTCTGGACCAGATAATGCAGTGATTAACAGCATGAGCGTCGATCTACGCAACTGGAATACGATGACATGTGTCAACCAAGTCAGCGAACCTGACCACCCATTCCAGTTAGTCGCCTCTTACGACAAGCATGGTTTACTGAAGACCAATTCTAACCCGGATCTTCTGCAGTGATTAACAGCATGAGCGTCGATCTACGCAACTGGAATACGATGACATGTGTCAACCAAGTCAGCGAACCTGACCACCCATTCCAGTCAGTCGCCTCTTACGACAAGCATGGTTTACTGAAGACCAATTCTAACCCGGATCTTCACAGGTTTACAGCGGCATGTAAACAATGAGTCTGGAGCAACAATCCAGTGATCGATATTATGAGCGAAGATCCATGTCGGGGTGGCGGGATGACACTTAATCTACCAAGTCAGACAGTCGGACAGTCGGACAGACAATGTTGTATGGTCGCCTTTTACGTCGAGGAAGGCCAGTTCACACGGCCTATGGAGCCACAGTCCTCATACTGATGCTCATCTCCAAATAAAGATAAACAAAGAGATATTAGCGCCAGGAGGCAGATGCAGGTTGGCTCTCACGTGCATAACAGGGATGTTTCCTCCGGGAGTATTGACATCTATCAGGCCTTTTGTTTGTTGTTTAGGATCACACTTCAGCTTATGGCTGATCGTAAACATTATGTGGTCTGGACCAGACAATATCGTTCTGACATCACTGACATCGATGTACGCATTGGGGATACGATTACGTGCTGCAATCAAATCAGCGAGGCTGACCATCCGATCAAGCAAACCGAACATACGTCTTATTAACCTATTCAGACAATGACTTCCTTTTCAGCAGATCCGAATTTTTTAGTGTGAAAGTGAAAATAGACATCCCAAACAACTATGGTTACACTGAATTCCAATTCCTTGTTTCATAAGAAAATGGTATTTACAAATGAATTTTTATTTTAAACTTTAATAACATCGCATTTCTATATTTTATGGCGAGGTTGAGGCAGCATGACCTTAACTAAGACGTCACAGACTGTAACGCACAATGTGATTGATATAATATCAAGTCCGTACCATACCGCCAAACTTTCCTAGCGGCACACCCTCGTTTTGAGATTTCCACGATTTCGAGGTTTCTGTTTGTCAGTGCTCGCTGTACGACAGAGCATGCTGCACGACGTGTTTGCAAGGATTATAAGGAGCGTAGTGTTGCAATATACAAGTGCTTAGATGTATAAAAAAATACTGATTGATATTTATGTATCCTGTTAAATGAATTGGCCTCAAAATTCTGGACTGGTTATTGTACTAAGCTGCGCAAATAGGACGGAACCCAGTCAACAGGAAACGAGACTATTGTGTAATCAATGTTTTGACTTGCGGAGGCTCTTATGACAAGCGTGGGAGTGCTTAAAGGCCAAGCACAACCTTGCCCTTCGTGGGGTTACACATTTTGAGTTGAAAAAAGATTATTTCATATTACCTGGTTTTGGCTTGCATGTGATAGGTGGTTTCGTTAAGCCAAGGTCAAAGTCGAATTCTTCAGGTTTGTAGTTCTGTAGGTAGGTGTCGGTGTTGATTGAAGCGTTATACGGCCACACATCGTAATCACTGTACTGAGCAACGTCGAAGGTGTCGTCGGTGCCCAAGTAGATGTTGTTGTTGTCTGTGAAATGAACATGAGAAATCACTGGCGTTAGTTGTTTCACTGCACTCAACAATATTCTAGTTTCATCAAAGCGACCTGTAGGTGATCGAGTCTGGACCAGCAAAATCAGGGGTTAATATTATGAACAACGTCCCATGATGTTATGGGAGCATGCTTCTATATCAAATTTGACTGGCACTCACAAGCAATAAAGTGCTAAGGTCCAAGTCTTACCCCTGCTTCTCGTACCTTGTCCACATATTGATGCATTGTAGTCCAGTCACATATATATCAATTACACAATATTGTTGTTGATTATTTGCCTTACGTTTTGATAAAACACCATTTTCATTTTTCCTCCATTATTTTGCTTTAGTTAGTTATGAATTTATATATTTAATGTTTTTTATATTTTGCGTCTTGGGGAATGGGGGTTAGGGGTGTTCAAGTCACAGCTGGGATTAACCTATCAGGTCAGGTATCACTGGCCCACTTGTTACACACTGGAACTTTGAGTCATGCCCGTCGTCGTTACAGATGTACATAACCAGAACTGGACCATGGTACATAATCGGGGCGAATCTATCAGCGGATCCTGACAAGGGCAAGGGACACAAGTCACAGCAACATGCAGCGCAGTGGATTGACGTCTTAATGAGAACAGGATGAGGAACCTACGCAAGCTGTTCCAGAAGGTTCTGTTGCCGTCAGTCGGGTCCCACGCTCCCATGTTGATGTTCCCTGTCTTCAGCCACACGATGTCCTCCTTCAGTTCCACCTGACTGTGGTCGGTCTACAACACAAAGTGAATGAGTTAGATGGGTTTAACACAGTTTGGAACAGTACATCACTTATATCATGGTGTATCAGCTTGATGTGAGAACAGTCCAAAGTGATGCAACTCGTAGCCGTTGACCCACAGGAGTGGGTGAGTTTAGTTTTATGTCGCTTTTAGCAATATTACAGAAATATTACGGCGGGGGACACCAGAACTGGGCTTCACACATTGTACCCATGTGGAGAATCGAACCCGAATCACCGGCTAGGCTACCTCACCGTCCCTTGACCCACAGGAAAAGGATATAGATAAAACCCACGAGAACAGGCATAGTGAAACCTCACAGCAGGCGTATGACTAAAAACAGAGTGAGTGAGTGAGTTTAGTTTTACGCCGCAAAGATCAACAGCATCGATCTACGTAACTGGGATACGATGACATGATGACAAACAAGTCAGCGAGCCTAACCACCCGATCCCGTTAGTCGCCTCTTACGACAACACGACAAGCATGGGTTGCTGGAGACCAATTCTAACCCGGATCTTCAAGGGTACATACTGACTTGGGAGTGTAAAGACCTTCCAGTGCAGGTACAATCAAAGACCTATGAGCATCCGATCCGAAGGTCACCTATAATTACAAACATCGGTTGCTGAATACCAATTCTAAGCCGGTTCTGGATGGGTCGCTAAATGTACTGGTACCCTTATCTTGGATGAAATCTACAAGTGTGTATCCATTAGACGTAGGTCTCAAGACGAGTAAAATGGTGCATCCCACTGGCTGCACTAATTACGTGGTGTATGGTGTGAAACAAAACACACACACACACACACACACACACACACACACACACACACACACACAGAGGCTGCACTAATTACATGGTGTATGGTGTGAAACAACAACAACAACCCCCACACATACACACACACACACACACACACACACACACACACACACACACACACACACACACACACACACACACACACACACACACACAGACAGAGATCATCATATGGACGAAAACGGGATTCAAACCCCGACCAGTGGATTTTGTGTCACCTCAGTTTCAAGAAAGTCACAGCAGTGATAGGCGTATGACAAGATGAGAAGCTCGATCTTGGGGAATGTTTCCTTGGGCGGGAACTCTCTGAGCTCAGTGTTGTGGTAGGTCTTCAGCTTTGTCAGGTTTCTCAGTCCTTCCGTCGGCAACACGGGGATGTGATTCTCCCCACGTTTCTGAAACAAGTAGATGGTACTGTATACCTGTCACTGAATCTCCCTCTCCTCGATGTTTCACTCCTTCACTTTCCCGACCCTTCTCTACATTAGCGGCCCTTCATCCACTCCCTTTCTAGACCTTCTTCCCTAAACATCACGACTTTTCAATTCTTCCACCCTTCTGCCCCAGCCTTCGGTCCATTTTCTTCTCGACCCCCCTCTCCGTCTCGATCCTAATGTCCTTCCGACCTTTCTCTCCTTCTCCCCTCTGCTTCTCGATCCTTCTCCCCCTCCTACTCGATCCTTCTTTCCTCAACTTTCCTACTTTTCTTCCCTTCCCGATCCTTCTCTACTCCCCGACTCAAGTCTCCCTTCTGATACTTCTCTCCCCACCTTCAACTTTCCCTTTCCCGACCCTACCGTCTCTCTCCCGACCCTTCTCTTCTCTACGATTCTTCTCTCTCTCCCTGCTCTGACCATCTCTCATTTTGTCTGTTCTGTCCCCAAATCCACCCTCTCCTTCCCGACCGTCCTCTCCTTAATAAGGTTTGCCATTAGTGATGTCTAGCTGCAATTCTCACACTACATATTTTGGGGTTTGGTGCCAGTTTCACTTTTTTGCTTTTAAATCGACTTCAAAGCGAGTCAGTAATTGACTTGCCCTCTTTTTCCCCAAATGGATATCTTGTAATTGCAGTTCATCGCTGGCGGCAACGATGTTTTGGGAAGGAATCTGTCAGTCTCCACCTTGTTTTCGACATTGAGTGAGAACCGTTATACGCCGTGTAGTTATATTCTGGCAACAGCACAAAAGACAAGGTGAATTGTCCTCATACATTGTAACAATTAGATGGATTTGAAACGGCTAAAAGGCAGGGTTTCACACACTGTGCCAACGTCTCTAGCGACTCCTAGCTGCCAGTGATTGACTCCAAGCGACCAGTGTTTGTCTTATCCCCTAAACGCGGAACGCCAATCACGGAAACGAGTACTACCTTTTACAGTATTCGCCTCTTTACCATTTGTAACGGCGCTATAAACCACTAGGTCAACCGTGTCTTCGAGTGTCCTGTCAGACTAAACGGCGTGGTTTTTGGGTTTTGGGTTTTGGGTTTTGGTATTGGGTTTTGGTATTGGGTTTTGGGTTGTTGTCACGTTTGGTACGACTGCTACTTACATGTCCTCCAGAGACGGGGGTGGGGGGGTGAAGGCCACCATTGTCCCGAGTGTTGTGAGAGACTCAGATGCGTTGTGTTGTTTCGTGGGGTTGGGGTTGGGGTTTTGGGTGAGGGGTCACGTTTGGTACGGCGGCTACTTACAGGTCCTCCAGAGAGTTGAGGGGGATGAAGGCCTCCATGTGGATCTCTGTGATTCTGTTAAACGCCAGGTCTCTGGAACACGGAACGCAGGCTGTCATCAGTCTTCGTTTTAATAACACATCAAAGATGCATGACAAATCAGCATGACTACCATAGAATAACTTCATCCATGGACTCCACATCACTATATTCTTAGTGATTTTATGCCATGCGATTGGCTAAACACAACGTTTACAAACTAGTGCTCAAAAGAAACTACACACCGCAAAATATATACTCAGTGCCATTATTGAAGGGTCATGTGTCTTTTGCATTGATAGGAATCAATTCCATATTATGAATATATCAGAAATGAGAAGTCAATACTGTTAAAACCCTGTTTACATAAGGCACCATGGAACATATTTGGCTACGCACATGTCTCAGTGATTGAGAAGTTAAAGATATACAGTGTTTCAAAAACATGATCATTTTGATAAATGTTTTGTTTCCGTGAACACTGTCAATGTCTGTATCGTGGAAACGCAGCATTGTGTCTTGCATTGCAAGAGAAAGTGCGACTTCCCATACACAGATTTAGGCTATAAATGTCAACTGTAGTCTCACACTGACATCATGGTTTCTGATACGAAAGGAGACGTGTCCTGGCGGTAGCGGAGAGGGGTCAAGCAATTGATCTCATACAAGCTGGTCACAGTCAACGACAAGCTGCAGTTCACTTCAATGTGAGTCAAAGTGTCATTTGGAGACTATGCGAGAAGAGCAGGTCGACCTTGAGTTACCACTGCAAGGCAGATCAGGCACTTGGTTAACGTCGCTTTACGCAAACGATTCGTGACCGCCGGTGACCTTCAGACTGAACATAAGAATGTGCATGGTGTCAGGATAAGCAGGAACACTATTCCTCCGCCGATTAAGTGCCAGTGGGATCCGTTCAAGGCGACCAGCACTCCGTCCACCACTTGTGCAACGTCAGAGACATGCACGTTTAGCCTGGAGCAGACGTCACGGTCGTTGGAATCAACCTCAATGGTCGACCGTGCTCTTTACAGATGAAAACCGATTTAATTTGTCTTTTAATGATGGTCTTCGGAGAATATTCCGCTGAAGAGGTGAACGGTTCACTGATGCTACAGTTGTCACACCCAGTAGGTTTGGTGGCGGGTCAGTCATGGGCTGGGCCGGTATCATGGCTACAGGAAGAGTTGAGTTGAGTTGGGTTTTGCGTCACATCGGCATTATTCCAGCCATATAGTGACGAGAACAAGTTTGCATTAATAAACATTTTAAGTACATACTTGGAATGAGTTTCATTTCAAAAACATATATTCATTACATTGTCATTTAAAAGCAGAAAAAGTCAGAGCACCAAATTTAAAGGTAGGCAATTTCTTAGTCACATTTCACAGTTACAATTTATGATAGTCACATTTACCAGTTACAATTTATGATACAGATCAACTCCCCTCAGGTAGTTCACTATCAGATGAGCGCTCACGCGGGAGAACAGATCTTTTAGATTTGTTGCATCATAATGTGAGTCCCTTGCAGACGATAAGTCCACGCATTCAAGCAGGATATGCTTGATGGTGAAAACCTCATCGCAAGAGTCACACATGGCTACAGGAAGAACCCAGCTTCACGATATTGATGGAAATTTGACTGGTCAGCGGTATCGAGATGAAATCTTGACCCCATTGCTATTCCCTTTTTGCAAGCTATGCATGGATTTTATGGTGGTGATCCTCTTCTACAGGACGATAATGCCAGACCTCACAGAGCCAGGATAGTCACTGATTATCTTCAGCAACAGGGCGTGGAACGGATGGACGGGCGGCATGTTCACCAGACCTCAGTCTAATCGAGCATGCATGGGATGAACTTGGCAGACGTGTTTACAGACGTCTCCCTGCTCCACTAGATCTACGGTGTCTTCGGAGAGCTCTTGTGCAAGAACAGGAGGCTATTCCACAGGCAGTCTTCATGAACTTGATCAGAAGCATGAGATCATGGTGTAACTCTGTCCAGGACCAGAGAGGCGGCTACACAAAGGACTGATTGGTCATGGACTCCATTGTTGTGACTTTCCGTTTTGGGGGTATCCCTTTTGTTTGATGTCCGTGTAGATTCAGCCCTGATTGTTGTAAGGTGTGTGTGTGTGTGTGTGTGTGTGTGTGTGTGTGTGTTGAGTCTCAAATCCGCCATTTTGTTTTTATGACGTAACATAGGTGTGACCTTTGTGTGACCTAATCGATTGTTGAACTCCATTGTGAGTTTTCCGACTCGAGTGTTCACACAGCAAACCTTAGACTAATGCTTAGTCTCTGAATATATATATATTTATATATAATTTTGATAGTAACAAACAAGCCCGTTTAAATTGAAAAGGAGCCATAAGGGCACCAGAGATTCAGAACCTAGACTTGCTTTATTTAGGGTTTTAGCACTGCAGAGAGGTCATGTGGCAGTAGGGAAAATAATGTGGTTCAGGGACTGTGAGACAGACTAAGCAAACGTGTTCAACGTAGAATTAATATCACACAATGATTATTGTTAGGACAAAGTTTAAAATACGCTATCACACTAGGAACAACACCGAATGTTCTGAGTATTACATATCTGTCAACAATAAACGGTTGTAGCTGTTAAAATTCATGTGGGCCTGTATATGCGTGAAAAGGGGCGCTGTCTATAGGCACTAATACATAACACTATGCTATTCTGCATAGCACAATCGCTTGCTCGCTGAGCCGGGCCGTAGCTTACTATTTCCTGTCTTTAATTCCGGTCACACACTTGTCTCCCTACATAACGCAAGCTGACCACTTGTCAGCATACATTCAACATCACATTGAAAATTATCCATGCAATGTACTCATGATTACAGTTTGACCCTTAAACAGCGGAAGCTGACCGTATGTGACACTACACCACGCTGAAAATAATCAACAACCATGTACACATGATTACAGTCTGACCTTTAAATTACAATAAAACAATTTCTGGTCAACTTGAACCGGCAACCGAGCACAGGAAGCCACACACAGGAAGCTCTCACCAACTTGAACATATCTGTACACGCATATGCATAAGTGATAGAAATGACAGCATTAAATACTTAAAATAGTGGTCAGGTTTAATGACTGGATGGATTTTAACAAACATAACACCTTACACTATTTCATCCAATCACAGCTGTCACATGTCTCTTCAGTTATGGCTCAGTGAGCAAGCGATTCTGCTGTTAAGTAGTGACAGCAGTGCATAGACTGCGCCCTATTCACGCAATAATCATATACGGACCCACATATACGGACCCACACCATTTATTGTTGACAGATATGTAATACTCAGAACATTCGGTGTTGTTCCTTGTGTGATAGCGTATTTTAAACTTTGTCCTAATAATAATAATAATCATTGTGTGATATTAATTCTACATTGAACACGTTTGCTTAGTCTGTCTCACAGTCCCTGAACCACATTATTTTCCTTACTGCCACATGACCTCTCTGCAGTGCTAAAACCCTAAATAAAGCAAGTCTAGATTTCCTCAGGTTCTGAATCTCTGGTGTCCTTAGGGCTCCTTTTCAATTTAAACGGGCTTGTTTGTTACTATCAAAATTATATATGTATTCAGAGACTAAGAATTAGTCTAAGGTTTGCTGTGTGAACACTCGAGTCGGAAAACACAAAGGTCACACCTATGTTACGTCATAAAACAAAATGGCGGATATGAGCTCGACACACACACAACACTGATCCTTTTCTCACAGCATAGCAATAACACTCTCCTCAGTTAATAAACTATCTCTTCTTTCTATAATCTTGTCACAGCATACTTTATTTTGCATTATATTACCTTATAGCTACATGACCCTTTAATAATGGCACTGAGTATATTACATAAACAATAACAAACACGATAACGCAAGGCCTCATACAGCAAGACTGACAAACGACTTTCTGCATTACGCTAACATCGTTGTTTTTTCCAGGCCAGCTGTTCTCCCGACATGAATCCGATAGAACATTTATGGGACTAACCGGATCGACAGATGAATATATTTGAATTTGGAAATTTGATGAATTGAACTTCAGCAACCGATGTTTGTAATAAAAGGTGACTGAACTACAGGGTGGGTTTGTTGGTATTTGTATTTATGGCGGTTTGTTTTAGGTTATGTGGTTTGGATGTATTTATGTTGGTACAAGTGGGTTATGTAGGATTATATGCGACCTATAAGGCAAGTTATAGAAATATAAGGCCTGGGTGTTATTTAGTGGGCTTAGGAGTGTTTGTAGTATTAGGTGCGGGTCACTGTCCGGTGAACTCTGGAGCACTCTTCTGTGTTGTTGGTAGTGTTAGGTGTGTGTCACTGTCCGGTGAACTCTGGAGCACTCTTCTGTGTTGTTGGTAGTGTTAGGTGCGTGTCACTGTCCGGTGAACTCTGGAGCACTCTTCTGTATTGTTGGTAGTGTTAGGTGTGTGTCACTGTCCGGTGAACTCTGGAGCACTCTTCTGTGTTGTTGGTAGTGTTAGGTGTGTGTCACTGTCCGGTGAACTCTGGAGCACTCTTCTGTATTGTTGGTAGTGTTAGGTGTGTGTCACTGTCCGGTGAACTTCTGTATTGTTGGTAGTGTTAGGTGTGTGTCTGTGAGAGCACTCTTCTGTGTTGTTGGTAGTGTTAGGTGTGTGTCACTGTCCGGTGAACTCTGGAGCACTCTTCTGTATTGTTGGTAGTGTTAGGTGTGTGTCACTGTCCGGTGAACTCTGGAGCACTCTTCTGTATTGTTTGGTAGTGTTAGGTGTGTGTCACTGTCCGGTGAACTCTGGAGCACTCTTCTGTGTTGTTAGGTGGTAGTGAACTCTGGAGCACTCTTCTTATTGTTGGTAGTGTGTGCGTGTCACTGTCCGGTGAACTCTAGAGCACTCTTCTGTATTGTTGGTAGTGTTAGGTGTGTGTCACTGTCCGGTGAACTCTGGAGCACTCTTCTGTATTGTTGGTAGTGTTAGGTGTGTGTCACTGTCCGGTGAACTCTGGAGCACTCTTCTGTATTGTTGGTAGTGTTAGGTGCGTGTCACTGTCCGGTGAACTCTGGAGCACTCTTCTGTATTGTTGGTAGTGTTAGGTGCGTGTCACTGTCCGGTGAACTCTGGAGCACTCTTCTGTGTTGTTGGTAGTGTGTGCAGTGTATATTTGTAAAAGTTTGAGTGGCCGTGTTTGTTATTTGGTTATCGCCCTGTCAATATTTTTAGATTAATGGTAGACTTGCAGCATGTGAGATTTTTTTAGTAGATTGTTTAGTTTAGAAATTGAGTCTTGGTATCTACTTTGCCGGTTTTGCCGCTCTATCTTCTTGCCTTTGTGTGGATTCTTGGTGCTTTTTAGTATTTCATTTATGTGTTTAGGTTGATTTTTTTTCACTGTTGGGAGCCCGCTGAGTGAGTCTGTTAGAATTATACTTTTATTGAGTTGATAGTAATGAACATTTATAAGGATGTAACATACAAGCCTACTCCGATACTCTCTCATCGTCACTCTCGGGCGAATCCGGGAATTTTGCCCATAAGGATCTTTGCCTACAGAAATTCTGCCCATTAGGAGCTCTGCCCACCATTTTTACAGGGGAGGACCTTTGCCCACAATATAAATTCCTTATTATGGAAAGTCCTTCCATGATAGTATTAAGGATTATGGTTAATCTTTGAGAGAGGGATTTGATGGTACATTTAAAAGCTATTTAAATTAGCAGTATAAATCGAATATTTTGTGACGACCACAGAAGTAGCGAATGACCTAGTTTTACTTGTTCCATGGGTTCCCTTTTTACTTTAGTGTGAACCATATGTTCATCAATTTCCTTGTTTAATTAGTTTCACAGATACCTGTGGTGAGGCAGACTTTGGTCGCGTTTCCGCGAACATCTGTTACCATGTCTGTTTCACAGCAAGTCATATGTCCGCTTAACTTTAGTAGTTTCCAATGACTTCAGCTGAGATTACATAGTCATTGAAGACATTGTATCGTACCTCTTATCGTAACGTAAATCATATGTTGTATTAGAGATACACTGGGAAAGGCATTACGTAGAATCATAACATGTTTTATGTTTGTTCTGTATAAATTCAACACCCCTATTTCTAAGGAGTGACAGATTGATCATTGTTTAAGGTCACATCAGAGGTCGTGCAGCTATTAGCGACAGTGGTTCCGCAGAAATAATGGTTCCCAATTTTAATGAGTAAACGAAGAACGGTATCTTACAAATTACGCTACTATTGGTGACATATCACACACCTAAATCCTATTCACTTCATTTAACCATGGTTACAATTTTATAATGTTTGCACTGTTTTCTGATTAAGAAGTGTTTATTATATTTAATAACTGTTTGATTATATGGAAGGTTTCGATAATGCGTTACTATATCACATGTGTGAGCATACGTGTGTCTTCATTCTACATTGAGTGCACGATGTACTTGTGTGATCTTACCTGGCATTACCTTCCCCAGTTATTCACGGGGTAGTGGAAAGGGGAAAGGAGAGAAGGTGTCTACACAAGGTGTTAATGCAGACCTCCGTAAGCGGTACATTTGCTCAAGATAGGAAACTAAATTTGAAAACAAGTATAGCTCGTTTCACTTTGAGCTACTTGCGAGATACTCATGAAGAAACTGAATAACGGAAGCCTATTAGTGCCTATTAGTAATGGAACCTTTAGCAGGTTGGGAATGCAAGAATTGCTACAGTGTTTGTTTTTGACAGCAGTGAGTGAGCTTTTAGCAATGTTCCAGCAAAATCACGGCAGGGGACACCAGAAATGGGCTTCACACGTTGTACCCATGTGGGGAATCGAACCCGTGTCTTCGTTGCGAAGAGCAGAGCTATGCTTAGTAGATAATGCACGGTTGTAAGTCATTTGGCTTGTTGTAATGTTGTCGTGGGTTAAAATACATCCAGTAAACAGTAAAGCATAACCTAGAAAGACGTAAACTGGTAAAGGCTTAATGAAGTCGTTGTCGGCACAGGTACTACAGATATGTACCCCAGGTATACACAGTAAAAAGTAGGAACGTACCCGGTACCATAAACGATGCACGAGTCAAAGTTCCGCAAACCAAAACCGAAACTGTTTGCAGTTGTTCCCGTTCAGCTGATTGCAAGTGAGATCTGTTACTGTGTATGTTCGTTTCTTACATAACGCAATCAAATGCATGTAATACAACAGTATGACAGTTTGATCAAGAAATCGACACACTGCGGAATGGAATCGTCCTACGGTACGTTTCTGTATTCTGATTTTGGCTAGGGTACATTTCTGTATACAGATAACTATACAGAATTACCCCGTACTTTACTGAGAAAGTGTAATAAATATGGTACACCATGATAAAACCTGATATAAAATTGATACAAGCCGACTTACAGGTACATCAATCGTTGAAGGCCAGTGAATGCATCTGCAGGTATATATGTAATGTAGTTGTGAACCAACACAAGGTCTGTCAGCTGACGGAGGCCACGGAATGGTTTGCCCTGGAGACTAGTTATCTCGTTGTTGCCAAGGTTACTGAAACATGTCACGAAGAAATAATAAATCTGTACCTATTATGACAATTTTACATCAACGGTAACGACGGGATGACCTTGCTAGTCAAATTAACGACCTTGGTTAAACAAATTGAAAACGACATTAGAATCTACGTCGAAACGTCGCATATACAGAATAAAGAAGTTGTGTATCCATAAATATAGTCCTCATTCTTCAAATTCCAAAGAGACAATGTAATGACTTAGGTATAGTGGCATACAAAAGAACATGCACACTGCCGTTTGGAGACTTTTTAAATTTATTTTTTGAAAAATAACCCGTAAACATTTTGTAATGTGATATGACTGACTTACAAGTACATACATACATACATACATACATACATACATACATACATACATACATACATACATACATACATACATACATACATACATACATACATACATACATATATATTATATATTATTGACAGTGTTGTGGTTGGGATATCATGAACCTCATGCTTTCGTTGAATCTCACGTGCATGTTATGCGCCAACAGTATAAAACATGGTCGATTGATTATGTTGGTGATTGAAACCGTTACACCTGTTAAAGGCAAACATAAAAATGACAAGATTATCAGCAGCGGAGCGAGGACGCGCCATTTTGCCTGAGTTTTAGTTTAGCTTTATCAGTATTCCAGCAATATCATGGCGGGGGACACCAGAAATGGGCTTCACACTTTGTACCCATGTAGGGAATCGAGCCCAGATATTCGGCATGACGAGCGCTTTAACCACTAGGCTACCCCCCGCCCCTCCATATTGGAGGGACCCGTGAAGATCCGGGGTAGAATAGGTCTTCAGCAACCCATGCTTGTCTCCCCGTGAAGATCCGGGGTAGAAAAGGCCTTTAGCAACCCATGCTTGTCACAAAAGGCGACTTACGGGATCGGGTGGTCAGGCTCGCTGACACAATGTCATCGGTTCCCAATTGCGCAGATCGATGCCCATGCTGTTGATCACTGAATTGTCTGGTCCAGACTCGATAATTTACAGACCGCCGCCATATAGTTGGAGGATTGATGAGGCGCTTCAACCAGGCTGGTCAGACATCTAACATTCCCAGACATCTAACATTCCCAGAACTGGAAGGCCGAGACTGACCAAACCGCATTTTTCATCTGCGCAACCGGATGCCTAAATTGACCTTATCAGCATCAATAGCATTTGGGCACCACATCACAGTGATGAGACGAGTGCGTGCTACCGGCACTGGGGCCTGTCGACCATTTCGGGGTATGTGATTAGGGCAATGTCGCTATGTTGACGGGTCCAGCTATATTCCGGCAGAGATGACATGCAACGACGTCAGCGACTCTAACCACCCGATCTTTTGCTTCGCTGCAGACCCATTCCAACCAAGATCTTCCTTCGTGAGTATGAGAAAGTCAATCTATCAATGGATTATGGCATCAAAGAGTTTTGTGTGGAGTCTTTAAACCTATTCATTAGTGTTATCTAGCAGCATCACGGTTCTTGCAAAGGGGCAGAACTCTCAGCATGAGTGAGTGAGTTTAATGTTACGCCGCTTTTAGCAATATTCAAATTGTGTCTCCGTAACTTAACCTACATACATACTCATGTATCCATGCCCGACAATACTCACAGACTGAGCAGATGGGAGCAGTTGGAGAGATTTGGAATCTCGGAAACACGATTTGAATGTACATCCCTGAAACAGAAAATATTTGACGTTATTAAGTGATGGTTACGTAAAGAGGACCTGGTGTATATTCTGATCGTTAAATTGATTAATGACAGATACATGAAAGGCGCGTGTGGGCGACACCGTGTGTTGTGTCAGAATACGCTATATTTGGAGTCATTGTGGTGTTATGGTGTTCACCGGGTGTCACAATAACGCTTTTGCGGTGTTCAGGTGATTTCAGAATGGTGTCCTGGTGGTAATATGGTATGAAACTGGTGTTATAATAGAGTAACCACCAGGTGCCAGATTGGTGCCGTTGTAATGTGGGAAATGTCTGGTGTGAGAATGGGGCATCAGTAGCAATGTTGTAAACACCCGGTGTCATAGTGCAGACCCTGTATTTGACTAGTGTGTCGTTACTTACAGACTCTTCAGTATTTTCAGCCTGGGACAAAGGTTGTTTGGGATGACCTTGATACTTGCACGGTCAAACCGAAGGGATTCCAGACGTTGGGTGTTCTTCAGTTCGGGAAACTCCGTCATGTCACGTGCCTCAGATAATGTGCTGCAACAGAGGAGACTACATCAACGTACATCGAATACAGTTTCAACATAAGGATGCCATAGTTTCGACTATCAGTCTGTATAGGTGTATTATAGGCGGATAATGATTGGTTCAAATAACAGTTTGAACCAAGAAGCGCTCGTAAAATCCTGAATGGTTAGTCCAAATGTTGGCTGAGAAGGCTGTCATCAACACTCATTCTCAGCGCTGATTTATCCGTAAACGTTGGTCATATTATCGTGATGTTTTAATTAGCAAGTTGTAATTTACACCCGAGTATTTTGAAAAGTTATTTTGTGAAGTATGTAGTTGAAGTGGGAGAGAGAGAGAGAGAGAGAGAGAGAGAGAGAGAGAGAGAGAGAGAGAGAGGTGGAAGAGAGAGAGAGAGAGAGAGAGAGAGAGAGAGAGAGACAGAGAGATAGACAGAGAGAGAGACAGACAGACAGACAGAGAGAGAGAGAGAGAGAGAGAGAGAGAGACTCCGCTCAGGTTGGACTATTTCAGATGCTCACATTTTCCCGAGTCGAGGTAGATGGTTGAAGGCGTGGATGCCGACGTCGGTGATGGGGTTCCCCTTCAGCTGCAGCATCTTCATCTCCCTGTTGTCGCTGAAGCAGTAGTCGGGTAGATACTCCAGCCGGTTGTCGTCGATGTTGCTGTAGAAACAATAACATAATATAAACTATATGCACTCGCGGTTAAAGCGTTAAAGTTAGTGACTGAGTTTAGTTTTACGCCGCATTTAGCAATATTCCAGCAATATCTCGGCATGGGACACCATACAATGGACTTCACACATTGTACTTATGTGGGGAATCGAACTCGGGTCTTCAGTGTGACGAGCGAACGCTTTAACCACTAGGCTACCCCACCGCCCCGTTTTTATCTCCCACAAAACTTGTAACATTCAACTACTCGAACATTCCCAATAACTTCGAATTAAAATTTCACAGTACGTCCAGTACTTACAGCTCTTCCAGGGCAGTCAGTGACCTGAAAGCCACGGGGACGTGCTTCATTCTGTTCCCCTGGAAGTCTCTGAAGAGTGAGTGAGAGAGAGAGAGAGAGAGAGAGAACGAGAACGATTAAGTATATTCCTTGCTAATACGTGTGTCGCTTTCAAACCTATTTACATCTAACCGAAACGTTTTTGCTTAACTACCCAGAGATGTGAAGTTTATATCTCTGATGCCCACTGTTTGCATACGAACTCTTAAATATACTGGCCTATTTCTCTGAAAAGTTTTATAAACCCGTAAGTCAAGGAGCGTTTAATGTAATCTAAATGTTCCAAGATACTTATAATTTATTACAAAAGGTATTGCATGCATGACTAAAGACTGACTAAACTCGGTCTGTCTAAACTAAACTGTGTGATAGCGATAATGGTTATTCCTGATGAGGTAGATATGTCCAGATTGACGAGGTTCAACTCTACATACACAGACTATGTGTAATGAAAGCCTAAATAACATGAAGCGTTGTAATTGTGTTATTATTGCAAGTATAGTTGAACCCAAAATTATAACTCAGTGTTACCCAACATACACGTGATACGAAATACAATCTCCGGGACACTATCAGGAAAACATATATCTCAAGATCTGTGTTTAAGTGTTTAATACTGGCTATCAAATAATCACAGTTTCCTAAAAAGTACTTTTTTAGGCAAAACTCACAATATCTTTAAATCGGAGAGTCCCACGAACGCGTCATCGTTGACATCTTCAATCAGGTTGTCTGCCAAGAGTCTGTAAATAATAGTTAGGTGAGTGAGTGAGTAAGATTTAACGCCGGTTTCAGCAATAATTCAGCAATATAACGGCGGAGGCACCAGAAATGGGCTTCACATATCATACCCAGGTTGGGAATCGAACCCGTGTGTTCGGCGTGACAAGCGAACGCTTTAACCACTAGACTACCCCACATCCCCGTAAGTAGGATGAACATTCCGACACCAAAGCCTGGTCATGGCTGACCAGTAATGTGTTTCCAACACCTCAACCTCGGTGTCCATGGTTACCTTCGACGCTGTAATCGGTTGCTGTGTGTAAATGAGTTTAGTTTAACACTACTTGGAACTTTATTCCGGTTATAGGAACTTGTTTCAGTTTCAGTTTGATGTGGCGTGAAGGCTAAGTGGGAATTAGGTCTTTTAACGCTTTCGTGAATCCACAAACTAAGGGTCATAGACAATGATTTGAACTGGCAATCACAGGATCCTGAACTCTGTTCTGTGCCCTTCAGTACATGTGACTGTGTATAGGTTTATGCCGCCTTCAGCAATACTCAAAAATGCTTCATACATGTTACCCATGTAGGAAATCAAACCTCTTGCTCTAGGTGTGAGCCTTTACCATTTGGCCACTTGAATGAATTAAACAATATTTGGATTTTGAGCCCTGGGCCTAGGTTTTCGAAGCTCTCATAGCGCTAAGATAGTCGTAAGTGCAAAACGTTAACATTAACCTATACTGAACATCATTAAAAACGCACCAGTCGAAAATTGTCCATATTTTCATCAAGATGGATTTCAGCATGACAATGATCAATGAATATAACTAATATGAAGTCGAAGGGCATGTCCAGTTGAAAAAATGCTTACGAAACAGATTCCTGTCCACAGTATGACTCTTAATTCCAAAATGCATCAACATGCAGCCACGCCATGAAAAAACGCGAATTTCATTCTGAATTCATACTAACTGTGACATTAAAAGCTGGTGTATGAGAACCGATTCTCATTACTTCACTAACGATTGTGAAACAAGGACAGAGATGCCGAGGTTAACACCTCACGAAAGAGAACGTGCACTAGGCATGATTCAGGTTGGCACCAGCAGGGCTATTGCTCGACAACTTGGACTTGGCCACTCCACCATCGTTAGGCTTCATAGACGACATCAGTAGACAGGCAGCACCCGTGACCTTCAATGACCTTGGCAACAACGTGTTACGACGCTCCATCAGGATAGCCATATCAACCTTGTCCATAGCAGTGATTGAACACTGCCAGGACTGCTGCACTAGTTCAAGGTTGACGTGGGGGTCATCAGCGCTGACTCCATGCGACGCCGTCTACGCGCTACAGGGCTCCATGCTCGACGTCCTTACGTTGGACCAATTCTGACTGACAGACACCGTAATGAGCGTATACAATGGGCTAGCATGCATTTTCAGTATAGGTTACAACAATGGCATGGTGTGGTAGTCACTGACGAGTCACGTCTTCATCTAATGCTGACGGCCGATTACGTGTTTGGCGTAGACGTGGTGAACGTTATGCTGATGAGTGTGTGGTTCAGACAGACCTTTGGGTGGTGGGAGTGTCATGGTCTGGGGTGCAATAAATTACAATCACAGGACTGCCTTCATGTCTGTCAAGGGAGAGTTAATGCCCTTTATTACCGTGAGCAGATTCTTCAGAATCACATCGTATCTGTCTTTAATCACCACCAAGATGTCCATACTTTTCAACAGGACAACGCACGGGCACACACAACAAGACTTTCAATGCAGTATCTGGCCCAGCAACACATCCAGGTTATTCATTGGCCAGCACAGTCGCCAGATGTATCCCCCCATGGAGCACTTGTGGGACGAAATTGGTCAAAGTCTTTCGCGGCGACAACAGATGCGAAACATCCGGGAACTTGAGGCTGCACTACTGCAGAAGTGGAATGACATCCTCAAGAACTCTATTCCGACGCTTATTGACTCAATGAGAAGGCGTTGAACTGCATGTGTCAATGCAAATGGCGGTCACACGCGATATTGACTTTTCGATTTGATACCCACGTGTGTTTGATCATTTCTGACTGTGGAACATTTCAATGAATGAGCGTCTTTTCTATGTTGTTGTTTTTGTCAGTCGTCCATCTGTTATTATCCACTCAAAAAATATCAATTCCTTACACGTGCTTTTAATAATCTGAACTTTTATAAGTGGTGCGTTTTCAATGATGTTCAGTATATATATAAGCAAGCTATAAACGGACACACAGTGAGCCATAGAACACAAATCGTTTGGAGGAACTCACAGGATACTTAGCTTGGTGCTGTTCGCGAATGCATGGGAAGGCAGCTTCTTTATTTCATTCTCGTTCAGATTTCTGAAACAAAGAAGAAAGATCCATGGGTACGAGCATCGTCATCAAGGATGGCTTATGCTGAGACGCTTCCGTTTTTGAGGTCGCTCTCATGTCGTCTCACCTATCAGTAAAATACCACAGATTCAGTTTGTTTTAATGATTTCGCCAAACCCCCAACCCCCAAAAAACCAACAAAAAAAACCAACAAACAAAACCCAAAACCAAAACCAAAACAAACAAAAAAAAAAACTCACATGGCTGCGAGGGAGGGTAGATGGCTGAGGGCTGCAACTGGGACAGTCTTCAGTTTGTTGGTATCAAGCCACAGTTTGCTCAAACTGTGCATGTTCCGGAAGGAATCAGGGGGCACAACTTCGATCTGATTCGTCTCCAACTTCCTGCAAGTGAAATACATCGTTCAGTTGAGTAAATATAAACGCAAAACAATACCCAGCCTTGACTATCATCAGTAACAAAATCCGTTTGGTGTAAAGGAAAAATAACTGTGAAGGTCTTAAGAATGGATCACTGAAAATCAGTGGTGACACCAGGTGTTCACGATTAATTTGCATCGTTCATTGATTCATTATTAACCAGGTGTTCGCCTGTTGACTTAATGTTTTTCAAGTCTAGGGAAGACTAACTCGTTGTCGATGTATAAAGCCACCTTGACACTTACACGAATTTTGGCCCCGCACTGGTACGCAATTTTGCGTGCCAATTAGTAAATTCGGCGTAAACTTTTGTGAAGTGTGCATTAAGTGAGAGTGAGAGAGGGTGAGAGAGAGAGAGTGAGAGAGGGTGAGGGAGGAATATATTTCTACCAAACACAGCAGAAACAGGGATCAGAGTTAGCAAGAAAGAAATACCGGACTACAAATGGACGGATGAGGGAACTATGAAGCTGGCCGAATTTGTTAAGCAGCACCCCCAGCTGTTCGACAAAACAAGCAGAAGACGTCGAAATGATATGGCATAGGCTTGTCGTCATTAGGGAGTGGAACTGGTCCAGGCAGTCTGGCTCGGTTGTCCTCGACATTTTTATGCAAAGTACAGTTCTTCCATGTCCCTCCATCTGAAGCACCGCCCTCTACCCCAGCATCAACATACAAGAAATTGTATCCAACATCTACATGGGTCATAACCACAATGCTGTGGAAGCCCTTATAATTGTAGTAGAATGATCCAGCTTTGGGTGGCTTCTTCATGGCGACGTGCTGGCCGTCCACAGCCCCCAGACAGTGGTGGTAGTTCCACCTGGAACAAAACCTTCAGCAACCTCTTTCCACTCCTCTTCAGTTTTGGGGCATCTGAATACTTCGTTCTTGTAAACCTCAATGATGGATTTGCAAACCTCTGGTAAGAACTTGCAGATTGTACTAACTTCGACTCTGAAGCTGTACTGTAGACTTGCATAGGAATTACTAATGGCTCGGAAGCGAAGAGGTGTTGCCCACCTCCAGCGGTTCTCTCATGAATGTAGTCTTCTTCTCAAGATGAGGGGTTAACTTCACCACCATCTCTTGAAACAAGTCGGGGGAAATTCTCAGGTTATTTCTGTAGCCTCTTGGATCTTCCTTTGAGTTTGAGTTTTGTCAATAACAGGTCATAATGTCTTCTAGTCAACCATTCTCTCACCCACACTGTCCTTGCTTTCCTTTTTCTAGTTCGTCTTCTTCTTTGGTGCATTTGCTGGTCTTCAAGAAGTAATAGTGCTGCACCTGCGAGATATAGACACCTTTTCTTTTCTGCAATAATAGCTTGTTGTTTGGTGTTCAACATCTTGTAGGTCCACAGCAGTGCATGAAGCTGGGGTGATGCCTACTAGTTATATAGGGTGGCGTCAAGCGGGACAAAGCGGGACCAAATAATACCACGGCTGTTTCACGCATGTGCGAAGTGGTTGTGGCAATGCATGCTCATGCTGGAACTATGCGCGTCGTGCGTACCATGCCGTACACTGAACGTAAACAATGCGCCAACTATACTTGACCCTAGTCGTAAATAATGCGTACCAATGCGCACCATTTGCGGTCACGCATTGCGTGCCAAGTGCGCAACTTATGCGTAAACAGGACGCGAACAGTGCGCAAATTAGGCTTCACGCTTACCATGCGTACCATCTAAATTACACGCATTGCCACGACGAATTGCGCGGCAGTGCGGGGACAAAATTTGTGCAAGTGTCAGGGTGGCTTTACCGTAGATCTAACGGGTTGTTTCACGGATGCGGCGGGACGACACAGGCAACTGATCTCATCTTACCTCCGCTAACCCCCTCCCACTAAAAAACAAAACACACACGCACCCACGCGTGCACGCACACACCCAGGCGTATAGAAGCCGGTACTCACAGTTCGGTGAGACGGTCCAGACTCTGAATCGCTTTGCGCGGCACAACCTTGAACTGGTTACCTTGAAGCCATCTTAAACAAAACCAGGACACCAAATATGGTTACATATGGCATGTGACACTCACAGAGATTACATTTGACATAGAAAATAGGGAAAAAACCCGACAGGATTACTTGTTACCATGTAACGTGCGACAGATATGAGATTACCTGTGGCACCTGACCAACGAGATTACATGTGAGATGCTATAACTTACTATGGATAGCATTATTAACGCGTATTTATTCTAAATTATTTTATTTCATATAATATGTAAACACAATACAATAAGAAATCAGTATTTATTCCATACAAACAAAGCTTGGTACAAATCTGATTTACTTTTGAAGAACATTCTGTCAGGTTATAATGCCAACAGTTTGTCTAAGAAGAGGGCGTTATATATTTATAGCTATGATGTATTTATATAGCGCCGAGTTCCAGCTAGGCTGCTCACAGGCGCTTGATAACCGAGGTGGCGTTATATCCATGGCATTCAGTCTAGTCAGTTCATTGTTATTATGTAGATCATTGTTATTATGTAACTTATTGTTATTATGCAGATCGTTGTTATTATGCAGTACAGTGTTAATTTGTAGATCATTGTTATTATGCAGATAATTGTTATTATGCAGATCGTTGTTATTATGCAGTACATTGTTATTATGTAGATCATTGTTATTATGCAGATTACATTGTTATTATGTAGATCACGACTCCGTGCAATAAATTCATTATGGGTTTCACTGTAGATATCTAAACAACTTTACTAGATTCATTACTCCAGTTCACCCCGTTTTAATCACCATACTTTCATGATTTCCCAAGAGTATATTATTTTCTTGTAATTGCATTTCACCTGATTAATTCCAATAAACCAAATAAAAAATATCAATTCGAATGTGTTTAAAGATGGTAAATAGCAAAGAATGTGCTTTCTAATTTGGGAAACAATTGTCGGATTTGGGATATTTTTATCCAACTATTCGTCAAGGCAGACTTCCTGGCGAAATCCCTGTACAGCGTAGGAATTCGTTTTCAAGAGACATGTCTAAAAAGTCGTTCTCAACAGATAAAATCGCCAAAGAGCTAGTGTTGAGTTTCTCTTATTTCCACTATTTATAGCCAGCCAATATTCTAGGTTATGAGCTGCCGCTAAGCATGTAAATATGTTAACAAATGACACCGGACGCCGGACGCCGGACGCCGGACGCCGGACCACGACATACGCTCACAACAGCCCATGGCCAAGACATATTCTAACTTATATGCGTGATACCATATGGAAACGTAATCAGTGTTGAGGCTGTAGAAGGTGACTCACAGCGTCTGGAGGTGGCGGACGTTGCGGAAGAGGCGCCGAGGGAGCTTCTTGAGGTGATTGCTTGCCAGACGCCTGGACAAAAACATAAAATATGTCATGAAAAGCGGAACTTATTTGCAAATACTCTTAACGTCTAACACCATTTTGTATTCGCAAAAACATATGGGTTCTTTTTTATATTTCTGTTGATCAATGCAGCAGTAGATATTAAATATAGTGTCCTGTAAACAAACTTCCTATTATCCCCAATGCTACACGTACAAAAGAGTCTTGCTAAAGTGGTTTCTCTGTATATTCTTCATATTTGCTTATTCTAGCAATGCTTGATGGGTATAAGTCAAAAGCGATAATTGTAAAAACGAAATGCGGCTAGTTATCAGTCATGACAATATCTTTCCAAACAATATTCATCACAATATTTCAAAATTTATTGAAACATTTCTTCCTGTAAGTCAAACGAGGCCGTTACATATGTCGGTCTTTAGTGATGTAGTGACGGATATATGAGAAATGGCAGACCGATCTGATTAAACGACTGCAGTTTGCATCGTGCTCAGCAAGAATACATCTGCATCATAGATACATCACAGGACAAAGGTCTCGGGTTTGAAACAGCTTATGACTCATTTAAAATCATTGTCCGTAAAGGGTGGAAAGGGGGCGGTGGGGTACCGTGGTTAAAGCGTTCGCTCGTCACGCCGAAGACCCGGGTTCGATTCCCCACATGGGTACAATATTGCTAAAAGCGACGTAAAACTAAACTCACTCACTCACTAGGGGTGGAAAGATTATCTGCCACTGTGCAGGAGTATGGGGGTGACAGACCAAATATCATAAATGGGGATGGTATTGGATTCGAACCCACTTGCTATAACTGGCAACTAACGTGGCGATTTTGCGTCACTTTGGCTATTGAACCAGCCTCAGAACATATGAATGGGTGATTCAAGTTTGCTTCACGCCATTTTAACAGCGTTTTGTATAATTGCATCTTGATAGCTGGACACAGGAGGTATCCCAAAGTGATGCAGGTGTTCGTTGTAAACACCATGGGGTTGTAGTGGGGTTGTAGTGGGGTTGTCTAGGGTTGTAGTGCACACTGATCCACTGACGGTGGTCATTATTTGCGCTTTGAGCATACACTTTGTGTATGGAAGCTAAAGCAATATACGTACACGCGTTATTGTTACAACCTTGTTAGAACCCATGGAATTGAGTTCAGTTGAGTTGAGCAGAGTTGGGTTCAGTTGAAGTTTTACGACGCAACGACGTTGTTTCAGCTGTATAGCGACGTCCAAGTCTGTTACTCATACACACTTCAATTACAAAGTACAAAGACGTTTTCATAAATACACATTTCTTTATTACAGCATTATTTACAAACAGAAAAGTCATAACACCAAATTTTAAAAAAACAGCCAATGTCACGCGTACACATAGTCACAGCTTATGATAAAGACCAATATCTCGTTAGTTGTTCACAATGAGATTGATTCCTTCATAATGTGAATGCCTTGTATTTGAAAAGTCCACACAGTCAAGCAGACAGTCGTGAACACTTCATCGCAAGAGACACCTAGGAGGTCCATCTCCATCTGTTTCAAGCAGATAGTGGTGAACACTTCATCGCAAGTGACTCCGAGGAGGTCCATCTCCATCTGTTTCAAGCAGATAGTGGTGAACACTTCATCGCAAGAGACACCGAGGAGGTCCATCTCCATCTGTTTCAAGCAGATAGTGGTGAACACTTCATCGCAAGAGACACCGAGGAGGTCCATCTCCATCTGTTTCAAGCAGATAGTGGTGAACACTTCATTGCAAGAGACACCGAGGAGTTCCATCTCCATCTGTTTCAAGCAGATAGTGGTGAACACTTCATCGCAAGAGACACCGAGGAGGTCCATCTCCATCTGGTTCAAGCAGATAGCGGTGAACACTTCATCGCAAGAGACACCGAGGAGGTCCATCTCCATCTGTTTCAAGCAGATTGCGGTGAAAACTTCATCGCAAGAGACACCGAGGAGGTCCATCTCCATCTGTTTCAAGCAGATAGTGGTGAACAGTTCATTGCAAGAGACCCTGAGGAGGTCCATCTCCATCTGTTTCAAGCAGATAGTGGTGAACACTTCATCGCAAGAGACACTGAGGTGGTCCATCTCCATCTGTTTCAAGCAGATAGTGCTGAACACTTCATCGCAAGAGACACTGAGGAGGTCCATCTCCATCTGTTTTCAGCAGATAGTGGTGAACAATTCATCGCAAGAGACACCGAGGAGGTCCATCTCCATCTGTTTCAAGCAGATAGTCATGAGTAAACTGTGGCCAATACGACATCGTCGTAGAATGACCTCATCACGTCTTGACTGACAACCCATGTAGTTATAACCGATTGTTGGTTAGTTAGTTAGTCAACTCAGTTAGTCAAGTTTATCTCGTCCCACCTGGGCGCCCCACCTTTGTCTTAAGGAGTACAACTTTTGATAGTGGGTTTGAAGATACGGATCAGCAATGAGGATAACGGTTTGTCAACAGCTGTTTTAGCTGCAGCATCGGCTATGCCTACGTGCCCTGGAAATCAGAAAAGGTCGATTTGACATTGTAGAAAGATCGTTGTAAAGTTGTAAAATGTCGAAGATGAAAGGGTGACTCGAAATGACATTTTGAAGTGCCTGAAGGCAAGGCTATGAATCTGAAAAATGATGAATTTGTTTGAATGCCTTTGTTGTTTATATAGGTCAAGCATAGGCGGATCCAGAGAGGGGGTTTGCAGGGGTGCCCCCCTGTGCTGAAAGGTTGTTAAATGACCATTGAAACTCGGGTGAAAATGAAGTGTACACCCCTCCTTTGTCAATAGTGTGCAAACCAACCACACACACCCCACCCCCTTCTCAAAAAGCTGTATCCGCCCCTGTCAAGGCTGTAAAGATAGCTTTGGTCTCAGCAGTGAAAATGGAGCTATTGTCGGGGATTCTTGAGGAGGCAGTCTTGGAGCCAGTGACTGTAGCACTGGCAACTTTGCCATCATCCTTGGATCCGTCTGTAAATATGGACCTATGGGTGTTATATTTGGAACGTAACTGGTTGTATTCCTGTTAGAACACTTTTCGGACTGTTCAATTTAGCGAGGGTAAGATCCACCTCTGGCTTCACCATCTGCCAGGGGAAGACAAAAGTCGGTAAGGTGATGTGATATCGAAATCAATTTCAGCTGCAGAGATGTCTGTTTGAATTCTGATTCCAGGTGTTGGAACCAGGCTTGGCAGATTAGGAAACAGGTGTTCATAGAAAGGGTTGAAAACACAATTGTATGCTGGATTTGACTGATTTGAACTCAATTTAGTGATATACTGCAGTGAAAGTTTAATGTGGCGTTGGTCAAGGGGAGGTTCGTTAGCCTCCGCATATCGACTGTCTACGGAGAGGTCCTGAATGCTCCAAGACAGAGCCTAAGAACTTGGTGGTGCTTGCTTAAGCAGGCTTCACCATAGACAATGGAGCTATAATCTAATTTGGCTTGGAATTATTAGGAAGGCTGAAGACGAACATAACGATATTAAAATATTCGAGAGATTCCATTGCATTTAAAATGCATTAGTCAGGAAAACTATATTCACTGATCACTAAATTCAGAGATGACACCAGGTGTTGGCGAAAAGGGTAAGTATGGCATGCTCTTCTGGTACCACCCGTCACAAAATTCCTAAAAGGTATGAGATTGTTGCCTTAAGCAGCTCCAAGCACTATTCTTGTCGAACGGTGGCGAGCATGAAACAACCGGTGATCTGAGTATCACGTACAATGACCCACGTGACTGGTACAACGCCAGGCTTAACGCCAACACCATTTAAAATGTTCTTCTGGAGTTTTGTAAACACCCTGCGTTTTGTTATCCGAATCTTGGCTATACATTCAAGTGGTTGACATCATGGATACGATGACATGCATCAACCAGGACAGCGTGCCTGACCAGATTCCGTTAGTCGCGTCTTGCGACAAGCACGGGTTGCTTAAGATCAATTCCAATTGAGTCTTATACATACATCCATGGGTCCTCTTTTCAGATATACTGTTATTTACTGATGTTTGGCTGTCAGACCTCCGTGGTCTAGTGGGCAGTGTCTGTTTGGAGAGCGGAAGGTCGTTGGTTCGATCCACGGCAGTATCACAATAGTCACTGAATGACGGTACTATCTCTGACCCTGAGGGTCGGCAATGAGGGGATAAAACTATGGTGGCTGATTTCAGCCACCATATAAAACAGAATGGTTGGCTTTGAGTCAGTATTCTGTGAGTTGAGTATCAACGTTAAGCTGCAGCATGGCGTCTCACTGGGCTGGCACTATAACACAAGCAGACAGACAAACACATACACACACGCACACACACACATACGCACATGCATACACACACGCACACTCACATACGCACACACGCACACATACACATATACACACACGCACGCACACACACACACACACACACACACACACACACACACACACACACACACACATTCGGACATCTAGTACGTCCTCTGTATTTCAGACGCTTGCTGAAGACATGAAAAAAAAGTTGCTTTGCAGATTTGAATTCATCCAGCACATGTATGTGAATATGTGATGACAAGATGCACCCGTCCTTTTCAAATAAGAGTGCATCCGACTTGCTGTTTAGACTAGAAACAAGGTCATCATGAAACTTCATCACGTTACCAATAAAGTAATGTTTGTTCGTGGTGAGATTTATACATAATAATACAACTCACAGCTCTTTCAAGGATTCCAGCTTCCGGAAGATGGTTTCTGGCAGTTGACTGATGTTATTCATTCCAAGGTCTCTGAAATAAAAATCAATATCGTTGGAAACATTCAGTCTTTATTTAAAGCAATGCGAATACGTGGCAAAAAACACATCTTGGCCCTGGCCCACTAAACAAGTGTGTGTGGTTGTTGGAGGGAAAAGGTGACCAGTCCGTAATGGAGTGAGTGAGTGAGTGAGTGAGTTTAGTTTTACGACACACTCAGCTATATTTCAGCTATATGGCGGCGGTCTGTAAATAATCGAGTCTGGACCAGACAATCCAGTGGTCAACATCATGAGCATCGATCTGCGCAATTGGGAACCGATGACATGTGTCAACAGTCCGTAATGGAGAGTTGCGTCCCTTTGGCGCGGCAGGAATTTGAATGTAAATGCCGCCCACCATTTTACATTTGGATTACTCAGTCCACTCTCTTCTCATCATGTGAAGGTAGGGGCGGTGGGGTAGCCTAGTGGTTAAAGCGTTGGCTCGTCACGCCAAAGACCCGGGTTCGAATCCCCAAATGGGTACAATGTGTGAAGCCCATTTCTGGTGTTCCCCCTCCGTGATGTAGCTGGAATATTGTTAAAAGCGGCGTAAAACCAAACTCAGTCAGTCAGTCAGTCATCATGTGAAGGTAATTGACTGAATTCATCCAGTCTCCAGTATAAACAACAGGTACCCAGGACACATTGATTCATTGTTGAAATGTGGTTGATCAGAGGATGCTACATTTAAAATACCCATTTCATCATCACTGTGTCAACACTGGCTGTTTGATATTGGAAACATGTTTAAATCTAACATTATATCAACGTTGGCGTTTCGATATTTGAAAGTATGTTGAATTATTGATCTAAAGAGATCTGATGTTGATTCAACGTCGACATTTCAAACTCATTTCAGCTTTCCAATCCAATAAATCACATATTCAGCATTGTTGATCTGCTGGGTAAGCACTGACAATAACATATGTTACATTTTGGATTACACTTTCACAGTATTGCCTCTGGCGTTGTGTATCCATAGCAACGACGGTGCGGTTGGGTAGCCTAGAGGTTAAAGCATCCGCTCGTCACGCCGAAGACGCGGGTTCGATTCCAAACATGGGCACAATGTGTGAAGCCCATTTCTGGTGTCCCCCGCGGTGATATTGCTGGAATATTGCTAAAAGCGGCGTAAAACTGAACTCACTCACTTATCTCAACCGGCACATATTGACTCGATCAAGCCTGATGCTAGCCTGACCTCGGACAAAAATTGTACTTGTGATTGCGATTGCGGAAAACTGGTCCAAGCAGTGAATTTCTGCCGTTGACAGCATCAATAACGCAGGTTATAGTCCAAGTCGTCGGTTAAAGGATCCTACAGGGATCACAGCTCGCGGCGGCATCAGGAGCACGATATCTCCCCCAGCATGCCGCCTACTTCATTTAACGTTTCCACGTTTGTGATGAGGACTGGCGGATCTCGTGTGTTGTAGACAGATCATTGTTGCTGGAGAACCGGTACACACCGTGCCGACGGTACGAATTGATCAAAATATCTTGAGGGGATTATCTTGTTTGTATCGAATCCTCCGAGAGATGGGCGAACACTCCGAGACTCGCTTGAAGTCAGAGCATGAACGCATTAGACGATGTGATGGTGAGGCGAAAATATTTTGAAGGACATGCCTTGTTTATCTTAAGTCTGAGAGAGAAGGTTGACTCAGGATTTGTCATAGCTGTTGTGGCCATAGGTCGGGGATGTTGTACTACAACTTGTAGTGCAGTCACGTGTGTTTGGGTGAACGTTGGACTTTGTCGTGTGTGTTGAATAAATGTTGTGGATGTAGCAGAAACACGTGTGTTGAATAAATGTCGGTGATGTTGTAGCACAGTCACGGGTGTTTGGGTGAACGTCGCGGATGTTGTAACGTAGTCACGCGTGTTGAATGAATGTCGGTGATGTTGTAGCACAGTCACGGGTGTTTGGGTGAACGTCGCGGATGTTGTAACGTAGTCACACGTGTTGAATGAATGTCGGTGATGTTGTCATCATGAGTGTTGAAGGAACGCCGGGACTGATATCCGACTTGTAGCGACATCGTGAGTTTGTAATAGCGTTTTAAGGATGAAGAAGCAGCGACACTTGAAACCTCCGTAAAACCACATTGCCTTACTCAAATCTTTAAGGGATACGTAAGCATGGTAAATACAAGCATCATATGATTCACATGTAGAGAAATTCCCGCAGTTGACAGCTCATGATTCAAATTTCACTTAACTTGATTAAACTCTTAACGTATCGGATTAATCAAACAGTAAAATGTTTAGGTCAACACTATTTTACCAAAAACTAACCATGACAAAAGACAGTTTACATGTAAACTTCGGTGTAACGCCGCTTTCAGCAATACTCCAGCAATATCACGACGGGGGACACCAGAAATGGGCTTCACACATTGTACCCATGTGGGGAATCGAACCCGGGTCTTCGGCGTGACGAGCGAATGTTTTACCCAATTGGCTACCCCACCGCCACAGTTTAAAGGAAGACATTGAGCGGTAAAGAAGGAGTGAGCGAGTGCGATTAGTTTTACGCCGCACGCAGCAATATTCCAGCTATATGGCGGCGGTCTGTAAATAATCGAGTCTGGACCAGACAATCCAGTGATCAAGAGCGTGAGCATCGATCTGCGCAATTGGGAACTGATGACATGTGTCAACTGTGTCAGCGAGCCTGACCACCCGATCCCGTTAGTCGCCTCTTACGACAAGCATGGGTTGCTGAAGGTTCATTTTAACCCGGACCTTCACGGGTCGGTAAACAAGGACCAGGAGATCCAAGGAAACATATGGCCTGAAAAGCTCATGCAGGAATGTCCCTTTCAGCACACATACCCTCGTTATAAGTGTCACGAATAACAACTAAGAATGTTATGGTCTTAGCAAAATTGAGAAAAGTTGTTAAAAGGCAGCGATTGCAACTATTAAATGACTACCTTTAATACAACCTGAAATCGGCCAACAATGAAGTTACTTAAAACTGCCCTATCAGAGTTAACTTACTTTCTGCACGGTACAGAAATTGTCTGGACTCGCAACTGAAGCCAAATAACTGTGTCCAACTCTCCTTGAGCGATCATCTCATAGCAGGCAAAAGAGCAGGCCACCAAATCACTGTTAAACAAAGGCGACCGGGCAGTCCTTCACCGCTCTGCAGACACTCTGGCCTTCATAGTCGCGACGGAAGCCAAGAAAGTATTCACCAATATCAAAACATCAATACTTTTCTGTTAGGTGGGTACTGGAGCTGTGTCCGCCAATCACGTTGACTCGCGACTCATTCTATAGCAAGACGTGTATAAAGAGATACATCTTGTTGGGCAGAAAACAATTACATTTGTTTGACTTTCTTATGTCTCTGTAAATGATGTTGTCAGTCTCTACAGTCGTCCAATAAATCACCACAACTTGGCCTTTCTCCGCGAAGGAGGAAGTGCCCTTCGATAGGCGATCAGTAACAGGTTGATTTTTTTTATTGGGCGAGGAACATTTTTGTGCCTAATTTCCCTATGGTGTGAGTAGTAGTAGAAGTAGTAGTAGTAGTTGCAGCAGCAGTAGTAGTAGCAGTAGCAGTGTTAGTTGTAGAAGTAGTAGTAGTAGTGTTGATGGTGGTGTTGATAGTAGTAGAGGTAGAAGTTGCAATGTTCCAGCTATTTATATGAATACTACTACTACTTTTACTACTACCACTGCTGACCGCCTCCGTGGTGTAGTGGTTAGAGCGTCCGCCCGGAGACCGGAAGGTCGCGGGTTCGATCCCCGACCGCGTCATACCAAAAGACGTTAAAATATGGTATTTGTTGGTCCCTGCCTGGCGCTCGGCATTAATGGGTACAAAAGGACTGGTCGGCTCGGAGTCAGTACAGTCGGACATTTCGTACAACACCCACCTTAGGTCTCGAACCTAAATACCGCCCAACCCATGCAGAGCACTGGGATAACCCGGACAGAAAGTAGTGGACAGGATGAAACGTTCATGAGGTCTGACGCGATAAGAACGTTGTAATCAGTGGAAATCTCATCAGCATACAGTTTGCACGGTTTCTCTCATTTCCAAGATCAAAGGAGACTTGGATCAATTATCACGATTGCCACCGTGTCAATATTCATCTGTTGAGTTGACTGGGCAGTCAGAGGAGATGGGTTTAGATAAAATAGCATCTAACATTTACAGGTGATGTTTAGAATGTCAGGGGTCGGGTCAAACACCTCCGGAATCATAGATATGACCCTCAGGTCCTCAGCAATGTGAATCTCCTTTCCTTGCTCGCCCCTCTCTCTCTCTCTGTCTCCCCCCACTCTAAGCTAACCATTGACAAAGCAAGCTATTTTGGTGTGTGTTAGTGTGAACTGTATTGTAGTTTTGGTGATTCTCCCTCTGAAATATGAGAGTTAATGCATTAGAGACTGATCAGCAGTGTGGGTCCCTGTTACCTGCTCTCTCTCGCTCTCTGTCTGTCTGTCTGTCTCTCTCTACCACACACACACACACACACACACACACTCTCTCTCTCTCTCTCTCTCTCTCTCTCTCTCTCTCTCTCTCTCTCTCTCTCTCTCTGTCATAATGCCCTTTTGCTCCTGTACGATCTATCGTTCAGTGTGAAGGTCGCGGGTTAGCAAACTGGTACAAATACACAAACGACGTCATGGCGACGTTGATGTTCTTAACGATTTATCGACTAAATTATCGATGACAAACAAACAAAGACTATTTTGATCCTAGCGGGACAAGGTCAATACGCTTCCTTCACATAATGATATGCATCAGTGAACCAAACCAATTTCTCGAGTCCAATACTCAAGGCACCACATCGAAAACATGAAGAGAACTAGCCCCTAAAGCCTCATTTAGACAGACACTGTCCACTCAAGGAGGGTGCCAGCTGGAGTTTGGAGAAAAGTCCGTGGTGATTCAGGCGTTAAACGTTCACAACTTGAGCGAAGGGGCGGTGGGGTATCCTAGTGGCTAAAGCGTCTGCTCGT